GCTGGCGGTGGCAGCCTCTGTGCTTAGCTGACACTCAGGCTGCATTGCAGTCCCCTCTGGACGCTCCGTTTGCACAGGCGTCAGCCACACAGCAGCCTCACCCTGGGCTGCCCCTGCAGCCTCCGGGGAGCTGTCCACCATCCTCATGGCCAGGCTGACCCCAGGCTGCTAATCCTGGGAGGGCCTGGGCATCAGTCTTCCTAAAACACCCAGTGTTTGGGTGCTAGTGCCGTGGCCCAGAGCCGTGGTCGGGGGTGCTGGCCGCACAAGATACAGTCCCCTGGGAAGCTTTGTAATGGACCCATGCTGGGAATGTGTCCAGAACAAGTCAGCCAGGCCCTCTGGCTGTGGGCTTGACAGTTGATTTCATGGGCATCTGGGGGCTTTGCGTTTACCTAAGAGCCCCCTCCCCTCCCAGCCGCTCAGCTTGGGCTCTTGTTGATCTTGTCACCTGATGGGAGCGGGTGCTGGTTCCTGGAGAGGCCCCCCACTCTTGCTGGGGAAGGAGTGGGAGGCACGTATGCAGGAACAGGGGGTCCTCAAAAGCTTAGGCCAGTGGCTGGAGTGTTGGAGTAGGTGGCAGGGGCGGGGTCTTGTCCTGGCTCAGACAACTGGACACTCTGGGGACTTAGTATCCTCATCGGAAAATGAAAGAGTAGAGAGGACATGCCCCCAAGAATCATTTGGGAGGTCTTTCAAATACACATGCCTGGGCCCAGCCCCGAGCTACACGATCAGCGATCGGACTGAGCCTGGGAGCCTATGTCTGAAGGTCCAGCCCTCCTGCCAGCAGGTTAGGCTAGGTGCCAAGGCTCTGACAGCCAGCCTTTTGGTCAGCAGCTTAACCTCGATGCCCCCAGGTGGCGAGAAGGTGGTATTTTCACAGAGCGCCTCCCGGGTGGGCAGACTTGCTTTTGCCATGAGGGTTCCCAGAGGCTGTTAGGATGCCTTCTTTAGAGACATGGAGGGCCTCGGCGGGGTCCTGTGACACCCCTAGGTCCCACAGCTGGGGCTCTGCCTCCAACCCCAGGGCCTAACAAGTCAAGATCCCAGTTTCCATCCAACGCACTGCCTGGATTTATTTTTCTCTTCACCATAATGCCCCGCAGAGGAGAATGATGTCTCCCCCAAGAACGTAAAGGGTTCCTGGTTGGGGGGGGGGGGCAGGAGGCTTCTGTGAGGCAAGATTTGGTCTCTACGACACCAGTGTATCTCTGTACCACCCAGTGGGCATTCCTTCATTCAGAATAGGTTCTGCCCTGCCATTGAGAACCCACCCCACCTGTCCTGCCCTCCCTAGCCCCCCAATGCCCCAGGAGGCTCATCTGTAGAGGGACAGCACCTCCTTCTGGGATCTATGGAACCCCAAGGCTGACTCTTGGAAGGCCCCAGATGCGCCAAGGCCTTGGGCCAGATGATGGGATGTGCATAGGGGACTATGTCCCTGCAGTCCCGCATCCCATTTAGGACTGAACGCTGAAGAGCCTCTGGTGCCCGGGGCCTCTCTCCCCTTTCCCGACCCGACCCTGCAGGAGGACACAGGAAGCCCCATCCCTGGAGGATCCAGCAGGCCACACCAAGGGTTAACCCGAAACCCGCCACCTCCCTCCTCCCACCTCTGGTCCGCTAGCCTGTTGCCATGGGAACCTGGCTAAAAATAAACCGGGCTCCTGAAGCCCAGCCCCAAGCACAGAAGTCAAAACAAACTAATTAAAGCAGCCAGGCTAAAATGTGAAGATAATTACACCCTCACTCAGGAGCCAGTCGAGGGATGGGGAGGAGGATGTAGCATCAGCCACCCCTGAGGAAGTGGCCCCCCCAGTCCAGCGGACCAACAGCCCTGTTCTCCATCCCCAGAAGAACCCAGTCTGAGCTCTGGGGAGTCCACCCTCGACCTGTAACTGCCCACTCCTGGTAAAACCACAAGTATGGCTTCATGCTGGAGCCGGTCCCCGTCCCTGGCCTGATCACCTGGGGGAAGCAAGAAGAAAGTGGGTGCCCTGAAGTCTGAGGTGGTTTTCCCACATCTTCCTTGAAATTCCAGGAAGTCCCCACACAGCTCTAGGACCACCAGGGTCCCTAAGAGGCCCTAGGATCATTCCCTTCTTCCCCAAGCTGTGGCCTCCCCACCCAGGCCCTTGGAGCCCGGAAGGTGACCCCTCCTCCTCTCGCATCCTGGAGGGTGAGGAGAAGCCTGATCTCAGGCCACGTGGGTGGGGTTGGGCTTCTTCCTCACGGTGGCCCCTTTGCCCCACAGGACCATCAAGGTGGAGGTGTACGACTGGGATCGAGACGGCAGGTAAGCGGAGGGCACAGGTGAGCAGGGAGGGAGGGAAGGAGGATAACCCTGTCCACACACAGGGAGAGCTGTGTCCACCCTCCACTGCCGCCCCCGGTGGCAGCTCTGGGGGTGGGTGGGCCTGGGAGGTCCACACTGCCTTGGTGTCAGGAGTCCACTCAGCCTCCCTGAGCATCCAAGCCTCCTTTCCTGCAGAGGGCTGAAGAGGCCTCCTGGCCCCAATAGCTGCCAGGTGACCCCCATGGCCGAACCTCCTCAGGTTTGGTCCCACCGAGGACTTTCCAAATGCGCATGTTCAAGGGGACAGATGGCCATGACTCCCGCGTGCCCTGAGCATCCAGAGACACATTCCTGGTGTGAGGCCTGGGGCTGAGCCTTGGGGGGCCACTGGGATTCAGAGGATGAGTCCCGCCCTCTTGTGTGAGGTAAAGGTGCCCCCGGCTGGCTCCTCAGAGGTGCTGTTTGCAGAGGGCTCACGGGAGGGAAGGGGGGGGAGCCTCTGATGCACAGGAGTGGACCCTCGGGAGTCAGCAGACTGTCTTGGGGAAGCTGGGTTAGTGGGTGGAAGCTGGTTCTCCCCTGAGGTCTTGGGAGGGTGGGTAGGGGTACGGTGGGCGTGCCTTTCCCTTCTGTGGATCTGGGTGCCCCTAAGGGACCCATGGTGCTGGGAGTCCATTTTCACAGACCAGGACAAGAACAGGCCTCCCCAGCTGTCGTTCAGCACCCTCAGCGACTCCTCCTTGTCTTTGAACCAATCTAAATGTGTCAGTCTGACTTTGGGGACTCTGTCTGTCTGTGGTGTGAATTCCCAAGGGGGCGGGGGCGGCCCAGCACTGGTTACAGGGTTCTTCCCAATGATGTGGACCATGGGGTCCCAGCCATAGGTAAGGGTCTCCCCGAAATAGTGCAGCTTCAACTTAAATTCCCCGGGCCCCTCCTAAGGAGCTTGATGCCCCCCTATGCAAGACCTTCCTGTAGAGAAACGAATAAGACAAACCCTCCCTCTAGTCTCCCCTGCCCCCTTCCCCACCTCCCCTTCTCTTTCTTTCTTCTTAACTGTTTGTTCATCGGTTCCACGTTCAACAATCCACATGCATTGTTTCCTTTCCTTCATAGCAACCCCATGACCGTGACCGGCACTTAGTCACTAATCTCCCTTCCTCCCCTCTCCTGTCTCCTCGCCTCCATTTGACCGTCCACCTCTGACTTGCTGTTTCTTGACCTGAAAGAGGTAGCTGCCAGGCACCGCTGGGTCCCAGGGTCAAAGAGCTTATCATAAGCTGCAGGCTGACACAGGCTAGGCCTGAGGCCAGGAATGTCCCGGGACACCGTCCCACTCTCCAAGTTACCCCAGGCCAGGACATCATCAGGGACAGTGGAGGTTGGGAGGAACCAGGCCATGGGGTAACCACACGGTGGGGACAGAGCATCTGGAAGTGTGGACAGCTCTGGAAACATTCCCTGCTGCCCAGGTGGACAAAGCTCTAATTGGCTTCTTAAAAACTGTTACTGGGCAAATGTCAAATACTCTGAAAAGGAGAGGGAAGATTTTAATGGGCACCATGGCCTGAGTCCTGTCATTGTTGAATTGTGTCATACTTGCATTGTACATGCCTTGCCAGCGATGTACAATTACAGACGTCAGGACCATTCATCAGTAAGGGGTTTCGCCGGGCATATCTAACACACGAAGACATGTGTGTTTTCTGCATTCTCGTCAATACCTTTCTCACACCGGATGCATTCAATGATCATTCTTGACGACCAGCTACTATGTATTTCCTATTCAGATGCCCCCAGTTGTCCTCAAAATCCCTTTGACTGCTGGTTTGTGCAAAGCTGAATCTCACTAGGAGCCTTGCTTTGCATGTGACGATCAGGTTTTGCCCAAACTTCAGATGGCCGGGCAAGACTTTCCCCCACCTCCCTCCTCCTGCCCAGCAACTTCTTGGCCCTCTCTCCTCCATCAGCACCTGTCCATCCAGGATCTCGTTCTCCCAGGGCTCCTTTGCTAGCTGCTCCGTGGGCGGCACAGCATGGTTTTGTCTCTCTGGGGCCTTTCCTGTCAGCAGGGCCCCCCCGAGACCACGACTCAGGCAGAATTGGGAGCCAGGTGAAGGGATACAGGAGACACCAAGGTTCAGGCAGGGCTGGAGGCCAGTCTGGCCCACAAGATCTCAAGAGCACCTTTCCTTTGCAGCCATGATTTCTTTTTTTCAGTCATTTTATTGGGGGCTCATACAACTCTTATCACAATCCATCCATCCATCCATTGTGTAAAGCACATTTGTACATTTGTTGCCCTCACCATTCTCAAAACATTTGCTCTCCACTTAAGCCCCTGGCATCAGCTCCTCATTTCCCCCCTCCCTTCCCACTCCCCTCTCCCTCATGAACCCTTGATAATTTATAAATTATTATTTTGTCATATCTTACACTGTCTGACGTCTCCCGTCACCCGCTTTTCTGTTGTCCATCCCCCAAGGAGAAGGCTATATGTAGATCCTTGTAATCGGTTCCCCCTTTCCACCCCACCTCCCCTCTACCCTCCTGGTATCACCACTCACACAACTGGTCCTGAAGGGCTCATCCTCTCTGGATTCCCTGTGTTTCCAGTTCCTATCTGTACCAGTGTACATCCTCTGGTCTAGCCAGATTTGTAAGGTAGAATTGGGATCATGATAGTGGGTAGGGAGGAAGCATTTAGGAACTAGAGGAAAGTTGTATGTTTCATTGTTGTTACACTGCACCCTGACTGGCTCATCTCCTACCTGTGACCCTTCTGTAAGGGGATGTCCTGTTGCCAACAGATGGGCTTTGGGTCCCTACTGCGCACTCCCCCTCATTCACAATGATATGATTTTTTTGTTGTTTGATGCCTGATACCTGATCCCTTCAACACTTGTGATCGCAGCCATGATTTCATTGGAGAATTCACCACCAGCTACCGGGAGCTGGCCCGTGGGCAGAGCCAGTTCAACATCTATGAGGTGAGGTGGGCCCAGAGGCCTGGCGTTTGCTCTGATGAGAACTGACCAGCTCCCAATCACTGAGAACTCCAGGGGGCCATGTCCTGGGCTGGGGTGTGGTAGGTTTCCCCTGGGAGGTGGGTGGTGGTGGTGGTGGTGTCCCATTTTACAGGGAAAGATATTGAATCTGAGCAGTTAGGGAACTTGCCCCAAATCATGTAGTTCAGTAAGTGGCAGAATTAAGAAGCAACCCCACCCCCAGCCCCAGCCCCGATCCCCAGCTTGACAGATGCAACTCTATGAGGTAGGACTCTCCAAAGGAGCATATCTGACAAGAAAAGAAAGACAGGGTACGGGATCGGGGACATTATGAGAAGAAGGATCCCGGCCTGGGACCCGAATCCCTAGTTCAAGGCTGCTCTCTGCCCCCACTCAGACCAGTCTCAGGGCCTGTAGACTTATCTTTGCATGTTGGGGTAGGGTCCAGAAGAGTCCTGATCAGGAAGCTTTTATTTAGACTTGGCCCCACCACCAGCTGGATGACTTTACCCAAGGTGTATCATTTCTAGGGGTCACGGCCTTGGTCCTCAGGGACAATTTCTGCCACGGAACATTTGCTTTTGTGGTCCCTTCCGTGTGGGACGTTGTTAGGGGCCCCAGCTGACCACCTCTGACTTAACAAGGGGAAAGAAGAAGCCTGCGGAAACTCAGCCTGAGACTGCTCTCTCTGCGGCAGAGGTCAGACAGGCCTCCGTTCTTCACTAGTTCGGACACCGCTCTCTCGGGGAACTCTCCCTGCTTCTCGGTTGGGCTTAGTCGTACCTAAACCAGTGGTTCTCAACCTTCCTACTGCCGCCACCCTTTCATACAGTTCCTCATGGGGTGGTGACCCGCCATAAAATGATTTCCGTTGCTACTTCATCACTGTCATGTTGCTATTGTTATGAAAGGGTCGTTCGACGCCCCAAAGGGGTCACGACCCACAGGTTGAGAACCGCGGACCTAAACCGTTGCAGTGGCCATGCAGAACTCGCAGGCAGTGCTGTTGATTACGGGGTTCATGGGGGAAGCTGATGATGTTCTCCTGCAGTGCCTTCGGTTCCCACTCATAGAGGGTTGGTTGCAGCCCTCAGCCGCCCTACGTCCAACAGGAGACGGCCCCCAGGCGGTCCTGCACCACCCTCAGACAGTCGCTGTTTGGGCTCATTGGTGGAGCCACTGTGTCCATCCATCTCACGGAGGTCCCTCCTCTTTTTCACTAATCACGATGTCCTTCTCCAGGGGTTCAGATTGGGCTCCCCTACTGATCTGTGCCCAGTATGGAGATGAAATGTCGCCACCGTGCATCTCAGGAGCTTTCCGGCTGTACTGCTAAGAGAGATCTGTTTCTCTCTGGCAGTGCCCGGTACTTTCACTATCCTCCCACCACCATAAATCAGGTGCATCCAGTCCTCATCGACCTGCACTGTCCAGCCTTCCCATGCATCGGAGGTGATTGAAAATGCCACGGGGTCGACCAGGTGCACCCAGTCCTCAGAGGGCCGTCATCGCTCTGTAACACTCGACAGGATGCTTGTTTTTTGTTCGTTTGTTCTTGTTTTTCCTTTCTTGCAGTCGATGCACCCAGTGCAATGCGTCGTCTGGTGTCTGGACTGCTGCTTCCATGAGCATTGATTGTGGATCCAAGGAACCGAACCCCTTGGCAATGGCTCTTGTCTCCTCTCCCCCGGACGTTGTCGCTCCGTGGTCTGGGTGTGAGGATTTGGGTGGTTTAGTTTTCCCCATTGAGTTGTAATCCATCCTGAAGTCTACAGTTTCGGCTCCAGCACCTCTTCTGACACCTACTTTGACGTTTTCTCTTTCTTTCCTGCCTTTTTGATGACTGTTGGCCTTCTTCATGTAGGCTGCTCTTGGTGTCGTCCGGCAGCTTGTCTGGCTTTCGGTCATTAGTGTTCAGTGCATCAGATCTGTTCTTGAAATGGCCTCCAGATTCAGGTGGGACATACTGAAGGTCATATTTTGGCTCTTGTGGAAGTGTTGTAATTTCCATCACCTTCCACCTGAACTGATGGTTGAGCACTTGATGGTCTGTTCTGTAGGTGAACCCTGGTTTGGTGTTGGCTGATACTGAGCTTCTCCGTCATCTCTACCTACAGACGTCGTGCGTTTGATTCCCGTGCGTTTGATCTGGCGAAGTCCATGTGTCTTGTTGCTGTTTATGCGATTGGACAGATATTCGCAGTGAAGCAGTCATTGGTCTCACAAATCTTTATCACACAGCCGCCACCTTTGTTCCTATTCCCCAAAAGCCACATTTCCCAATGATTGATTCTTCCTCCGTTCTCATCTTTCCCATTCTCGTCTCCAGTAATTATCAGTGCATCTTGAGCAAGTGCAGACTGCAGAAGTTGGTGGAATTATTCAGTGTCTTCGTCACTGGCTTTAGTGGTTGGCGTGCAAATTTGGAAAATAGTTGTGTTAACTGGTTTTTCTTGGAGACACATGTGATCCCATCATGTATAGCGTTATGCTTCAAGATAGACCTTGAAATGTTCCTTGTGTTGATAAATGTGACACCATTCTCCAATTCATCACGCAGCATAGAAAACCATATGGGCTCTCCAACTCAAAATGGCCAAGACTGTGTCAGCCCACGAATGCCTAGGACACCGATCTTTATGCATTCTGTTTCCTTTTTGATGGCTTCTGATTTTCCTAGATTCATGCTTTGGACATTCCACATTCTGACGATCGATGGATGTTTGCAGCTGTTTCTCCTTTCAAGTCGGGCCCCATCAGCCAACCAAAGCCCTGGAAGCTGTGCTCAATCCATGCCATTTAGGTTGGCTCTACTTGAGGTGGCAGCTTTCCCCAGTTGTATTTTGATTGCCCTGAGACCTAGGGGCTCATCTGGCACTGTATCAGAGAATGATCTGCTGCTACTCCAAGATTTCCAAGGTCCCCGAGAAGTGGCCCACATATTCCTCTTGCCTAGTCTTTTCTGAGTCTGGAAGCTCCACTGAAACTTATGCACCACGATGACCTCACTGATATTTGAAATACTGGGGGCATAGCTTCCAGGATCACAGCAGTACCTAAAGCACCACAGTGTGGCAAATTGACTACAATTCAGCGTCAGAGAGACTCAGGATACAGTTATTGCAGCCAGGAGCACCCTTTCTCAGCTGTGCATGCCCAAGACATGTTTCTTTTTTGGCTCTTGGTTCCTCCATCAGAAGGCCTCTTGTCCTCCGTCCTGCTTGGGCACTGTTATAAAGGCCCGGTAACACTGTTGATAAATGCCTGTGGGGCACTCTGCTCTGCCATGAGCCTCAGCTCCAAAATGCTCAGCGGGAGCTCTGTGAGTCAGCACACAGGTGAGCTTGGCGCCGGCTCAAGCCTTTGGCAGCTTTTCGAATTCCACATGCCAGGCCATCGTGAATGGGGGTACCCTAGTGCCCCCAATTAGGTGCCTGAAGACAGCCTACACCACAAGCAAGTTAATTGGCCCAAAGAAACTCAGGCTTCCTCCCTTCATAGGCCAGGAAACCCACGACTCTCGTCTTAGACACTGGCTCTTGCTTCTTCCGCTGCCACCTCTCTGGTGTCGCGGTCTGTCTGCTGGATCACAGGCTCAGCTTGCGAGGATCTCTGGGTCCAACGGACACATTCCACCTCTGGCTCCTCTCATAATCAGTGGTTCTCAACCTGTGAGTCACGACCCCTTTGGGGGTTGAACCACCCTTTCACAGGGGTCGCCCGATTCCTAACAGTAGCAAAATGACAGTGATGAAGTAGCAACAGAAATAATGTTATGGTTGGGGGGTCACCACCACATGAGGAACTGTATGAAAGGGCATTAGGCATGAGGAAGGTTGAGAACCACTGCTCTTCATGGTAGGGAGATCCCTCCTTGCTCCTGCTTCTGAGATGGTTCACTTTATACCCAGAAGGATGGCAAAACTGACCAATCCCTACATTAGAGTTCCATCAACCCTATTTGCATGGTCCCACCCAGTCACAATGAATCTGGCTAGAAGAGCCCTACCAAGTCAACCACAAAGGCCTACCCCACCGGCCACGTCCAGCTCTGGTCTTCTTCTAAGTGGCCTTCCCAAGCCACCACATCCTCCTATATTCTTTTCCTCGTCTGAACTTCCATTGACAACACCATGCGTGTGAAGCTTCCTTAACTAAGACTGCTTAGAATCCTAATAACTGCTTGGATTCCCCTGCTGCCTCTCCACCTCTTCTCTGTGTGACCCTGGGTAAGGCACTCCTGTGTGCTGACGTAAGCTGAGGATTCAGCAAGGTCAAAGGGCAGTTCCTGGCCTTGAACTAGCAGTCCATCAGTCAGTGCCATCATGTGAGCTCCTCTGCCGGGTGCTTGCGCACCGGGAGATTTCTCATCTTACAACTGCCCTGCCGTTCTGGTGGGGTGATCCTCGTAAAGCAGCCATTGGACTTCGGGAATGGAAAGTTGGATCTGACTGCCACTGCTGAAACCCAGTGCGCGCACGCACGCACACACGCACACACACACACACAGACACACACACACACACACACACACACTCTCCGGTGCTTCCACTCCCTCGCCCTGTGTGGTGTACATGTGCCCTGGTTTGGGTGCCCTCGCAGGCTGTTCGAAAATACCACCTCTGTCGGATCAGAGCCAGAAAACACACAGACACACACACACACACACACACGCCACTCCCGGAGCATAAGCGCAAGGAAAGGAGACCGTACGCAAGGCGGAGAAGTCAGTGTGCGCTCTGAACTGCGTCTCAGACGAGAAGTCCGTGTTTACCGGGGTCGCTGGGCTGGCGTATCTCGTGGCTGGCTCTGTCCCCTTCACTGCTGGTCAGCCAGCAGCCTCAGCACTGTCCTGGACCTGTGTTTGCTCAGAGGGAAAACCCTGTGTGGAATGTACCCAGAGTCGGCGGCAGGTTCCCTGCACTTTGGACAGGCCCCTACTTCCTTAGACAGCCCCCCCCCCGCCCCCCAGCACTTCAGACAAGTGTCGCGTGCCCCCCCTGGGCCTCTCTTTCTCAGACAGTTATCTCAGTGCTGCTTCTGCCCCAGTGTGCACACTTCTCAGACCCCTCTGCGGCCACCCCTCCGCAGACAGCCACTTCTGTGCCCCCACATGCTCCATCCCACAAAGCACCTCGAGCTCCCTGGGGGACTGCTGGGGTCGCCATGGTGCAGAATTGAGGGAAGGGAGGGGCAGGGTGCAGTCAAGGACCCGGTGGGCGGGAATGTGTCCAAGATCGCTTCCCAGGTGCCCCTGGGATGGGAACACAGGGGAAGGAGCCCCACTGGCCGGGAGGGAGGGAGGGAGGAGGTGGGGGGATCAAGTTTGCACCTCCACTAAGTAGGCTCAGTGCCCTGGCGTGCTCGGCTGCTGGAGGAAAGGTGGTGGTCCTCAAGGCCGTCCCCCAGCTGCTCTGAGGGAGGGAAGACCCCACGCCCCTGTTCTGCCACGTGGGGAGTCGGGGACACATGGAGGGGACACGTGGAACAGCAGGAAGCCTGAGGAGGGGCCAGTCCACAGCTGGACGAAGCCTATGCGGACACAGCAGGCCATGCTCCCGGCAGGCAGTCTGACCCTGGGAAGCCTTCCTCATCCGGATGGGACCGAGAGCGCCCTCCCCGCAGCCCCAGCTCTGCCCTCTGTGGCAGCCCGCAGTGGACCTCTTTTCTACCTGATGGAGCTTCTGACATGTGAAGACAGCCACCACCACCACCCCACCCCCCACCAACCCCCAGCCTCCTTTTGCTTACTGATTGCAAAGGAGCAAGGGTCAACAACCAGGAAACAATTTTACTTCTTCACTTTTAGGCCAGGGTTAGGGGGGTGACCATGGCCTCTTTGGGAGCCAGCACCTCAGACGCCCAACTCCATGCAATTTCTCTCATCCAAGCTGTGGCCTTCTGGGGAGCTGGTTCCGCCCCTCTCTCCATCCCCTGCTGGTCCTGGGAGACTCTGAGTGTTACTTCCTCCAGGAAGCCACCTGACCTGCACAGCCATCCATCCACCCCGAGGTCTGGACATTTTCCTCCTCCTCGCTGAGCTGTGTGCCTTCACCCCGCACAACCAGCCCCCGTTTAAGATGCGGCCCCCCGGGGTGGGGTGATGTTTCAGTGTGGCCTCTTCAGAGCCAGCACAGCCCCCAGGGCACTGAGCAGAGCCCCTGAGTGCCCCTCTGCACAGTAGGGAGCCCCCTGCCCGCCCTGCCCTGAGGAAGGAAGAAAAGGGGTTGCGTGGAATCAGGACAGAGGAAGGTTCCTTGGATGGCCTCTAGGGGGAGCCGATGGCCTGTCTGGAGCTTGGGGCCGCCGCTGCGGGTTGGAAGGACTGGTCCCTGGGAGACGGGGATGGCGGAGGCCCGGAAGCCTTGGAAGAAGGAGGGCAGCTCTTCAGCTCCTCCTTCCCCAGAAGACCAGTTAGGGTCTGCACGCGTCGGAATGGGCTCTGGCAGTGGGTAGAGTGGAAATGTGGAACGTGGGCCCATTTGAAAGACCTCAGCTGGAGAGCTGCTTTGGCGTTTGAGCTGTGCTCTGTCCGACACCCCCCCCCACCCCCCCGGGAGAGGTCGGGAAACTGAGGCTCTGTGTGGCCTTGGGGCCCTGCTTGTGGTCTTCCTCTCGGCAGCTTCTTGGTAAGCGGTGTGCCCTCGGATGTACCTACGCGCATCAGGGCGCGGTTCTGTGGCCCTAGTGTCTGTGGAGGGACAGCCCCCGTCTGAGGGTGGGCTGAGTTCTCGCAGCATCTCATCCAGGGACCCCAGACTCCACCGGCACTTCCCCCCTGATCCGTCCCCCACCCAGCTCCCTCCTTCTGCACCAGAGCTGCCTCCAGCCCAGGGTCTTCTCCAGGGCCCAGCCTCTACAGCCAAATCTGGACAATGCTGTTCCTGCCAGAGCCCAGCATGGGCTCCAACACCACCCAGGCCCCCACTCCTTCTCTCCAGGACGACTGGTAGTAGTGGTGGTTGTAGTCATGGCAGAAGTCATGAAACAGCAGCACTTGACACCTATAGTACTCAGGCCAGGCCAGACCCTGGGTTGGGCACTTTACAAGGGGGCTTCAAAAAGCTTATGGGAAACAACAACAACAAAACACCGTTATCTTACCGATTCCATTTCCCCACAAACTTGTGGAAGCTCCCTCGTATACCTATTGACTCGTTCAATTTTCATAGCCCTCTCTCTCTTACACGGGTAAGCAACCTGAGGTTCCGGGAGATTAAGTGCTTGGTCTACAGTCACGTGTTTTAGTGGCAGATCCAGACAAGCATCTCCCTGGCTGTCCCCGGTCTGTCCTCACCGTCACCCTCCCCACCCCAGGTACCAGCGCCCTAGAGGGCCTGTGATCCTGTCCCTGACTGACTGAGAGCACCCCGGGGTTCCTGGGTTTCTTGCCGGTGGCTGGAGGAGATTTGAACCTTGAGCTTGGCATCGAGGCTCTCTTTTAGCCAAGCCCAGTTTGCGTTCCACCTTGTGGTTCTTCCATCAAGGTCCCTGCTTCTCCTTCCTGGTCTTTGCCCACACTGCCCTGACCTCGTGCCCCACACCTTCCTGTCCCGAAAGGCAGAGGCTCGTCTGGGGTATGGTGGCTATCACACTGGCCCTGGGCAGGTGGCCCCAGGAGCAGTTTGACGCTCGTCTTTTAGACCACTGTACCATAATAGCAGGTCAGAACCTCAAAGTCCAGCCAGTTCACCTTTTGATGAGCATACCACCATGACCGAGGAAGGACCCTAGGCCGTACTGGGTTCATAGAAACAGCCCCGTGGCTCCGTGCACCTGGGGCCAGTACAGTCCCACTGCCTCATGGTCTGGCTGCAACCCCATCCCCTTTTGGAGGCTGGCACTGATACCCTGGACTGGAATGATGTCTGACTCCCTCCTACAGCCCTGACACTTCTCAGGCCACGCCCCCCACCCACCTCCCGCCACCATTACTGGTGGCTCCAGTCACTTGTCCAAATGATCAGTTGCTGTGGAGTCCACAGTCCAATTCATGGTGACCCCGTGAGTGTCTGAGCCGAACCGTGCTCAGTGGGGCTTCCAAGGGCTGGCTTTTCGGAAGTAGATCCCCAGGCCTTTCTTCTGAGGTACGGCTGGGTGCACTTAGAGCTCTAACCTTGCAGGTCGGACCTACCAGTTAACTGTCTGTACCACCCCCTGACACATATCTTCCTTCCCCCACGGGAGAGAAGAGTTGAGCAACAGAGGGGCTCTTGCTCCCCCAGAAGGCTTTGCAGAAGGAATTGCTGGTGTTGGTGTTATCAGGATGTCTGCCTGCCCCGGCCACAGGAAGCCTGGTTTCTAATCCTGTCACTACCCAGAACTGCCTTGTGGCCTTGGCAAATCACTTGGCATCTATGGGCCTTAGATGCCTCATCTCCACAAGTGGATTCCAACACCCGTTCTTGTAGAAGAGGCTGGGCTGCAGATGCAGGTGATAGTGGTGGTGGGTGGTAGTAATGGTGGTGGTGGGTGGTAGTGATAATGATGGTGGTGTGGGTGGTGGTGGTATTGGAGGTGGGTGGGTGGTGGTGATGAATGGTAGTGGTGGTATGGGTGATGGTAATGGTGGTGGTGGTGATGATTGTGGTGGTAGGGGTAGTGGTGATTGTGGTGGTAGTGATTTTGGTGGTGATGATTGTGCTATGGGTGGTGGTAGTGGATGGTAGTGATGGTGGTGGTGTGGGTGATGGTGGTATTGGGGGTGGGTGCATGGGTGGTGGTGATGGTGGTAGTGGGTGGTGATTGTAGTAGTATGGGTAGTGGTGATGATGGCGGTGATGGGTGGTGGTGATGGTGGTGGTGGGTGGTGATTGTAGTAGTAGTGGGTAGTGGTGGTGATGGTGGTGGTGGGTGGTGGTGATGGTGGTAGTGGGTGGTGGGTGGTGATTGTGGTTGCGAAGGACCTTCGGGTAGATTTCAACCCCCAGCAACCTCACGTATCACAGAGTAGAACTTCCACACAAGGCTTTGTCTTTCAAAAATAGATTCTATATTTGTTCTCTGTTACAAAGGTAAATGAAATAAGAAAAAACAACAACAAAAACATTCAAATCCCCAAACCAGTCTGAGGCATAGTGACCCCATTTGGACCAGTGCAGGGGAGCTGCCGTTCTCGCCCTCTCTGAGCCGGCAGACGGCGATTCAGAGAGAGAGAGAGATTTTGTGTGTGTGTGTGTGTGTGTGTGTGTGTGTGTGTGTGTGATTCATGACACGGTTACTCTCTCTTTGAGGGGAGCTGTCCTTGCTCTCTCTGAGCCGGCCCCAGCGATTGTGTGTGTGTGTGTGTGAGAGAGAGAGAGAGAGAGATTCATGACACGGTTACTCTCTCTTTGAGGGGAGCCACCGTTCTCCTCTCTGAGCGGGCCCGCCCCAGGAAGCCAGCTCACCGCCCCAGGTGCCAGTGCCATTTTCCGAGTCGCCTCATCGTCTGATCCATGTGGATGGGCCTGGAAAGAGCAGAACGCTCGAGGCCGGCGAGCTAAGCTAAACTACTGTTTGGTGTTTAGAAGACGCCGGGGGATATTTTCAGTTTAAGAATTAAAAATCCAACCTCTTTTAGGAGTCATCCAACCTCCACGGCTCCAGAAATCGTGGATTCGATGAGAATTTGAAATTCTGTCCTGCATTTTCTCCCTCTTCTGACCGGTGTCCTTCTATGGAGTTTGATGGGAATCTTCGGTGATAGTAGCCTGGCAAAGGAGGCCGTGATTCCCGGAGGCCGTTAGCCACATCTTCCGTTTTCCCCTGTTCCTGACGCTCCTCATTCCCGTTGCCTCAGGCACACAGAGACGTTGTCTTTGTCGTGGGCGCATGGCCACTGGCACGCAGCACTTTCTGGGCATTGCTGAGTGGGGGGACCTCTTCCTCCAGTCCAGGAGTCACAGCCTCAGCCCTGTGGCCACGTGGACGGGATCGTTCTTGGTTGGGAGGGGCTGCCCTGTGCGTTGTAGGGTCTTCAGCGGCACCTCTGATCTCTACCCACAGGTGCCACTAGTACCTCTCCCCCTTAGTTACGGCAGCCCAAACTGCCTCTAGACAGGTCCAGATGCCCCAGGGCTGAGGGGGGCACACAAGCGCCCTAGCTGAGATCACGGAGGGAACCCACCAAGGGCTGACTGCTGCATCAGCTCAAGAGCCTGGAGCCCTGGGTTTGCAGACAGCTGGCTGCCAACGGAAGGGTTGGATGTTCAGGTCCATTCAGAGGCACCTACTTCCGGGGTGGGGGTGGGAGGAAGCTCTGGAAAACCCTAGAGAGCGGTTCCCCTTGAACACACGCGGCCCCGTGAGTCAGTGCTGACCGGACCGCAGCTCCTGCTCATGGTGCACCTAGCCCTGTGACTCACTCTGATGTCAGGTCTGGCTGGCAGGTAAACTTTACACGTGTGGGACGTGAAAGACGTGAAGGGGATGCTTCACTGTCCTCAGGGCCTTGGTGGTCTAGAGGGGACCCTTGGGCTGAGACTTGAAAGAGAGCAGGGTGGACTGAGACTGATCAAGGGAGGCAAGGAAGGGCACTCCAGGTGAGGGGAGCAGCCCGAGCCAGCACACGGGACAGGCACAGGCAGGCCCGCTTTGCGACATCCAGCCGCCTCTGGCTACCCAGCACGGAGGGTGTGTTTGGGGGAGCAGTGGGGCCGAAGGTTAAATCAATATTGTTCCTGGTGTGTTTGGTTGCGGGACACCAAGTCCCACCGGGAGGGACCCCAGGTGTGTTAAGTCTGAATGCCAGATTCCCACAAAACCTTGCCAAGCTTTACCCCGCCCCCTCCACCCAAGGTTTTCAGATTCTCTGTGATGGGGCTGGGGCCACACCCATGGTCAGCCAGGCCCTGGGGGCTCAGCCTGGATGGGGTAGATATGCTTCCTTCTTACCCTAGAACCGGTTCTTCCTGCAGGTGGTAAACCCCAAAAAGAAAATGAAGAAAAAGAAATACGTGAATTCGGGCACAGTGAGTAGCCGCTCCCCACCCCATGCCTACAGCGGGTGTAGACACTGGGCCCCAAGATCGGTGAGGTGTCAGGGAGCCTGACTTGTCTAAGGATACACACACATGCAGCGTGTGGGAACCCAGGGAGGCTGGGTGGAGGTGGGGAGGGGACAGGAGGAGGGTGGGGTGGAGAGAGCGATGGCCGGAGCCAGAAGTCACCTTCAAGAAGCCCCCTGGGGAGTTCCTGCAGGAAGGAAGTGGGTGTGCCCAGCTCTGGGAAACTCCCGGATTCCTTAAGAAGCAGGTAGCATCAGCCCTGTCCTGAAGGCGGGAAGTGACTCTGTCCGGGTCACACAGCGAGAGCATGGCAGAGTGGGGTCCATGGGACGATTGGCTCCAGGCTGGCAGCTGCTCTGGGCATCCCCTTGTCTTAACTGTGCCCACCGCAGGGTGACTCGTCATCCTTGGGCCCATGGACTTCTGGGAGCTGGTCCTCAGCTCATTCACACATTCTTCCAACACCTATTTCCCGATGCTGCTGTGTGCAGGGGGTCACAGGGAGTCAGGGCCCACTAGATGGCCACTTCCACCGCCCTGTGGCAGACATTGCTCTGGGCACCTGGGAGAGAGCTGGGAACAAGGTGAGCTCAGGTGCTTATACTCTCATGGGGTGGGGACAAGACACACATATGCTGTGTTTTTACTAAACAACCCATAGGAGCTCAGCCTGCCAATCCAGTCACCCCCTCCTATGTCCGTCCCCTCTGCATGCCATGCACGTTACGTGCTTGTGCTTCGGTGGCGTGGGCGAGTTCTATGGGGAAATTAAGTTTACCTGGATGCCGTGGGAAATTTAAAAAACAACAACAACCCACCCCACGTTTCTCAATCTGAGTGTCATGGGAACAAATACAGGAAAGTAAAGGGACAAGGTACGCCCGGGGCACAACTCTTGTACGTCAGGTAGTTAAGGCACGCTTCTCTGAGAAGGTGGCATTTGAGCCGAGACCCAGAGCAGGTAAGGGAGAATGTGGAGGAAAGGGCTCCCAGGTCAAGGCACTGCATGGGCTCAGGCCCCAGGTGGGAGTGTGCAGTACACGGAGCTTCTAGGACTAGCCAGTGTCTGTGGCCTGAACGTCCCCTTTCCCCACTGTGGAGGTGCGTGGCCCCGTCAGCGAATGCAGCCAAGGGAGGCATCTGAAGCAGGAGGCTGCGATTCTAGACCTGACCTGCCAGCCTCCAAACCAAACCCAACTCACTGCCATCAAGTTGAGTCTGACTCCTAGTGACCCCATCGCATGGGGTAGCACCATCTCTGAGTTTCTGAGACGGTCACGCCTTGCGCCCGCGGGGTCCTCAAACTTTTTAAGCAGTGGACCAGTTCACTGTCCCTCAGACCGTTGAAGGGCCGGACTATAGTTTTTAAAAAAACTGTGAACAAATTCCTAGGCACACTGCATGTATCTTATTTTGAAATGAAAAAACAAACGGGGCAAAAACGCCCAGCGGGCCAGATAAATGTCCTCGGTGGGCCCGCGGGCCGTAGTTTGAGGATGCCTGCCTTACAAGAATAGAAAGCCTTGTTTTTCTCCCGAGGAGCGGCTGGTGGTTTTGAACTGATGACCTTGCAGTTAGCAGCCCAGCGTGTAACCACTACACCACCAGGGCTCCTGTCAGTTGTAAAGTGCTCTTTAGATTCAAAGCACACACTGACCACTGCTTCTCTGACCAGAACGCCTAGGCTGGGAGGGACGGTCCCTCTGTCCAGAGCAGGTGTGCTTCTCAGCACAGGGGTGCTGTCCGTGCTGGGGACAGAATATGTCTTCCTCTGTCAGGTGCCCCCTGGCCTCTGCCCGTAGTGGCCGGCGGACACCCGCTTCCCCCTCTCCCCTCCCGATCCAGTGAGAATCCTTTCAGACCCTCCCACACTTCCCCAATGTCCAAAGGCAGGCAACATCTCCCCTAGCTGAGAACTCTTGGTTGTACAACTAAAAGAAAAAAACTTTAGAAAACCACTGGCCTGGTTCCGCCTTCTTACTTTAAAGATGAGGACAGAAAAGCCTGTGCTGCGTCCCCATCACCCAGGGAGCTGGGGACAGTGAAACTAGGTCCTGTCCTTTACACACACACACACACACACACACACACACACACACACACACACACGCTTCCTGATCGCCGTGCTCACGAACATCACCCAGGATGCTCATTGAAATGCCAGGGGTGCTCTGTTAGGGCACCCAGGCGGAGAGGTGACGTGCACGTGACCTGCGCCCTGGCGTTTTCCGTCGCCTCGCCCCGTGGGAAAGCAGGATAGCACCATAAGCCCGCGGGATCGGTGCCTTCGTGATGGTGATGAGAAGACGGTTGACGAGACCCCGGGCTGCCAGGAGCACAGACCCACCTGTCTGGGGAGACAGCCGGCCAGAGCGCTCCTTAGAGGCAAGGACGGCGAGACTTGGTACCGTGGACGTGTTGTCAGGGGAGACCAGTCACTCGAGGAGGACAGCATGCGTGTTAACGGAGCGGGGCGGCAAAAAGGGGAAGGCCCCCCTCAAGACGGACGGACACACGGCTGCTTCGATGGGCTCAGACGTAAGAGCCGCTGTGAAGATGGCGAAGGACCGGCGGTCCTCGCTCGATTGTACGTGGTCGCTATGAGTCAGAACCGACTCCGAGGGCCCTCACCGCAGGCCAGGGGCACGAGTTTTGGGGTTTTATTAGCACATTGCTGCTGCTAAGGAGCTCTGATGGAGTCGCGGCTTACTCACCGGGCTGCTCACCTGCAGGGCGGCGGCTTGAACCCAGCAGCGCCCTGCAGGCGGAAGATGAGCAGGCCTCTGAGACTCGCAGGAGCAAATCTTCTCTTCCGACAGGCTAGCTCGGAGCTGGAACCAGTGGTCCTGGCACGTTGCTGCGTGCAGGAGACTCCTGTGGATCTTGTGAACGCAGAACCCCCAGTGCTGAATTTCAAGACCCTGCACATGCGGCCGCCCCAGGGCCCACACCGCACATTGAGGATCAAAACCTGGAGTGAATTCTGGTGGCCGGGCAAGTTAGGGAATGGCCTGAGACCACCTTGGCCATGGCTTTAGACACATATGAGGAGCTTTAAGCAGACCCAGGGCCAGAGTTCCACTGCAGACACTCGGATGGAATTGGGGCAGGGCAGCCCCTCTCCCCACCCCCACAGGCCCAGAGATGCTTTAGAACAGCAGTTCCCAACCTGTGGATCTCGACCCCTTTGGGGGTCGCACGACGCTCTCACAGGGGTCACCGGATTCATCACAGCAGCAAAATGACAGTGATGAAGCAGCAACGAAAATAACTTTGTAGTTGGGGGGTCACCACCCCATGAGGAACTGTATGAAAGGGTCGCCGCGGCATGAGGGAGGCTGAGAAGCACTGCTTTAAAAGATCAGCGGGAAGTGTCAAATACCGCAGGACAGGGACCAGTCAATCCCTGTCTGACAAATACGATGTTCAATCACTGTTAGAAAGGAAAAGCCCCACAAAAATTAGGTTTCGTACCAAAAGCAGCCGACTCCGATGGATACAGGGCAGTTGGGGAGAGGGCAAGGGAAAGAAAGAGGGGGAGGAAAGGGGACCGATAATTCTTAAAACCAATGGCAACAAGAACAACTGTGTGTTTGTGTGGAGAGGAGGCAGAACCACCCCCGTGTGGACACACACACACACACACACACACACACACTCCTGATGAGCACCAGGCAGGGTTGACAGACCCCCCCATTCCTACCACCGAGAGGAAAGGGTCTTCATTCCTCCAGGTGCCTAACCCCATCACCGCAGTGGGCAGGGGTCACCAGAGCCCAGCCCAGCACTTACAAACTCTCGTGTCATTCAAGCAAACGGCTCATCACCCCCTGCCACCAGAGAGTGGATAAAGAGGGCTGCAGGGTGGAGGCAATGTGTCCTCTTACAGATTCTAAGGCCCCTCGCCCCTTCCTTTCATGCGTCTCATTCATCCTATGCCTGCAGGAGCAGCCAGCCCGCTGCCTGGCGCTGGCACCTTCCAGAAGGCCGGGATCAGGAGACCTCCCGGGAAAGGGCAGGCTGCTTGTGAGGGACTCGGGTCTGCGAAGGTGGAGGCAGAGAGACCCCCAGGGCATGTCTCAGGATTTAGTCTGTGGGACTGGGCGAGGTGGGCACAGACATCAGCACGGACCCTTCGGACCCCATGCCATGGGGCCAGAGAGCAGCTGCTCACTGCGGGGAGCCTCGTGAGCCGGCCTTAAGCCCCGCGTTCTGCTGAGAGAGAAGGGGACTCTCCCAGGATGCAGTGTGGCAGCACACAGTAAGAGGGCAGGCTCTGGAGTCAGACGAGGGCTCAGACCTCTACTCTGCCTCTTCCCAGGGAGCCTCGGTCCCTGCGGCTGTAAAATGGGCATAGATAATTGTGCCTCTTCACTGGGCACTGTGAGCACCGAACGTGGCCCTGCTGGCAACCCTGGCACAGACTGAGTGCTCAGGACATGCTAGCTCCTGCGTGGCATAGTTCTCCCCTGCTCTCCCTCCACGACGCTCGCCCCCCCCCCTCCGGCCCTGCTGACCAAGCCCCTCTCGTCTCCAGGTCACGCTGCTGTCCTTCGCTGTGGAGTCCGAGTGCACGTTCCTGGACTACATCAAGGGAGGGTGAGAGGAGATGCAGGAGGCCCCGGGGGAGGGCAGGGGCCCCTCCCGTCACTTCTGGTCCCCTGAGATGCTGCCGAGCGCTCCTGAGCTAAGGAGGTTGACCTGGGTCACAATGGGGTCTCCAGGCAGAGATGGGACCCACAGATGGGACGGGGCTCGTGACGGGAGGGGGCCGAGGTTCTGGAGGCGATGGAGAGAGCCAGGGGACCCAGGCTCTGGCCCCCGTTTCCCATCGCTTGGCTGAGTGACTTTGGACAAGTCGCCTTCCCTCCCTGGGCATCTATGAGGGGCCTCAAAAGTCTCCGTGGACAAATGGGATGAAAGGATCACCACATTTTCCCACGAGCTTTTCAAAGCCGCCTCCTGTCTGGGCCTCCCTCCAGAGAGAAGCACGGTAGCTGAGTTCTGAGGTGGCTGCCAACTTGAATCTCTGTGCTGGGGGCAGAGACCTGGGGCCAGGTGGGGCTGGGGCCCGCTGGTGGTCAAGCGCCAGGTAAGGAGCAGAGAGTGGCCAGGGTCTGGAGGCAGAGAAGCCACCAGCGGCGCCCGCCAGCGGCCCAGAAGATAAGAACTGCACTCCAGGGTGAAGGCCTGCCCACATGCTCCCTGCCAGGACAGGTGTCAGGGCACAGCGTGGGCAGCCGGGAGCCCACAGGGGAAGGCAGGTGAGTGACTGCACCTGTCTGGAAGGGAGACAGGTTGAGGCAGCTGCCAAAGGCTCAGCCTAGCCAAGAGGGCACCTTGGTGGCCTGGTTCTCCAGGGCAGAGAGAAAGTCGGGACTCTAACTTCACTTTCCCATGACACTGCGGCCCTGAACGGGCACAGCCTAGGGGTGCAAGCTCCCCTCCACCCACTGAGTACATACCCTTCCTCTGCTCAGCCAGAGGCCTCCCCTGCCCCCACCTGCCCCTCCTCAGGGCCACCTCCGCCCCCCTTGCTCTCTCTCTCTCCCTCCTCAGCAAAACCACCCCGTTCTCTCTCCTATTAGGGAACACACCCTTCCCCTCCTGGAAACCAACTCAGGGTGACCCAGGTGTAGCAGAGTAAAACCTAGCTCCGTGAGGGCTGCAGAGCCTGAGCTTCATGGAGGCGAATCACCAGGCCTTTCTCCCACGGTGCCAGTAGACACCCGGGGTCGCCCTGAGCTGGAATCTTAGCACCGACCCGATGGTGCCAGTGGACTACTTTCCTTAACCTCCCCTGCCTGCCTACCTACCCACAAAACAAAAGTCCCGACTCCTCGTGCCCCTGTCGGTGTTTCGAGGCTGCCTATCGACAGGAGCCCAAAGCCTCATCTGTCTCCCATGGAGCCGACGGGTGGCTTTGAACCACGAACCTTGCAGTTAGCAGGAGCCCAATGCACAGCCCACGCCACCAACAGGGCTCCTTGCACGGTAGAATTTTCAGTTTTCATCCTGTTTCTCCTGGTTTGCATAGCGCCTCAGCTCTCTGAGCTTGGTGGGCAGGGAAGACGATTATCTGCGTTTTATAGTTGGACCCATGGCATAGCTTGCCCGAGGCCACACGCCTAGTCAGGGGCAGGGCTCCTTCCCCCATTGCCTGCTGCCTTTCCTCCCACAGTAATACAGAGGCATGGGCCAGCCTGCCTCCCCTTTACACTACCCCATCCCGGTGGGGCGTGAGGCCCACCGAGGGAAAGGGCTGCAGGCCGTCATGGACAGGGGGCCTGCAGAGTCCCCGCAACTGCACAGCTGTGCTCGAGGGTACTGGGCAGGTTAGAGTCCCAGCGCCAGCCTTCCCCACACCTCTAATCAAGCTCTCCAGGGAGTCTGAGTGAGAGCTGGCACCAGGCAGCAGACGCCTGGCGGGCATGCCTGGGCAGCAAACCCGTGGCAGAGGCGTTTGTCTAGGGATCCCCTCCTCCCTGCTCTCTCTCACCTA